GGAGATTGGATTCGTACCCCGCCCTTCACTACCCGAAGGAGTCTCAGAGCGGCTTACAATCTCCTTTCCCTTCCCCTCCCCACAACAGACACCCTGTGAGGTAGGTGGGGTTGAGGGAGCTCCTTCAAGAACTGCCCTTCAGGGAACAGCTCTGAGAGAACTTGTGGCTGACCCAAGGTCACACCAGCAGCTGAATGTGGAGGAGTGGGGAATCCAACCTGGTTCTCCCAGATTAGAGTCCGCGCTCCCAACCACTATACCAAACTGGCTCTGGGGTGGGGCCTGGGGAGGGCAGGGTTTGGGAAGGGGAGGCAACTGAGCAGGGGGTGCTGCCAGAGAGTCCACCCTCCGAAGCAGCCATTTTATCCAGGGGAACATCTGGGAATCAGTTGTAATTCCAGTAGATCTCCAGGTCCCACCTGAAGGTTGGCAACCACATTCCTTGCTCCTTCTGCAAGCCAGGCTTCTAAACGGCGATCTAACGAAGCTCTCACATCTGGCTTGTATGTGGGTGTGGGGAAACAAGCTCCAGCTCCGGATGGCCTGACATTAAGTCGTGCTCTGAGGAGGGTAGCAGGGACCGTGAAAGCACGGCAGCACTGCTGCCATGAGCAGGCCCAACGCCAAGGCTGTTGTGAGGTCTAAAGGCAGTCTGTGTTTGGGAGAGAAGGAGATCAGGGCATGTTCTGTCACTCCAGGTTGGGGGATCCCTGAAGATTTGGGGGTGGAGCCTACAAATGGCGGGGCTTATGGAGGGGAGGGACCTCAGCAGGGTAGAGTGCCACAGAGCATATATCCTCCAAAGCAGCCATTTTCTCTGGGGGGAACTGGTCTTTACCATCTGGAGAGGATCCATTGTAGTTCTGGAAGATTTGCAGGCCCCACCTGGAGTCGGGCAACTGTAGTTTGTCCAGGTCTTTGCAGGCTTGAGAATGAAAGGTTCAGGCATGCCTCCTGTTGAATTCTTTGGAGTAATTTTATTTAATTGGCTGTTGAGGTGAAGAAGTGAGGTTCATAGAATGCTTGGAGCTTGTTGAGTCTTCTGGCTTTGTGTGTGTGTGTGTGTGTGTGTGTGTGTGTGTGATGTCCAGAGCTATTTTTGGGCAGGAACGCACAGGAACGGAGTTCCGGCAGGCTTCCAAGTTGGCCACACCCAGCAGGAACGCATTAGCATAATAGGCCACACCCAACAGCAGACACTCATTAGGATTGGCTACATTGGGTGTGTGTGGCCTAACATGCAAAGGAGTTCCTGCTACAAAAAAAACCTGGGTTTGGACAACAAACAAAGTAAACAGAATAAAAAGCAAAAGGTGGGTGTGGCTGGATGAGCACACTTCTGGTAACATGGGGGTGTGGCCTAATATGCCAATGAGCTGTGCTGTCAGGGTTGTGGCCTAATATGCTAATGAGTTTCTGCTGTTGTGTGTGGCCTATTATGCTAATGAGTTCCTGCTGGGCGTTTTCTACAAAAAGAGCCCTGGACTGTCCGCTGACCGCCACCAAGTGCCAGCGACTAATACCTGAGCTTGATTCTCAGAAACAATAGGGACTAGGATCCTGAAACCTCTAGTGGTCACCAATAGGAACTTTGGTGGGAAGTTTAAACCCTCCAATAGGACCTGTGCGTGGGCCAAGGGGACTGTATATAGTTGGCCAACCAGCCGGTATTTTCTGTGTTATGTTGTGAACTAGTAAACATGTGCTGGATATCGCTAAGTCGCCGGATCCTTCGATGCGTCTAACCAGGGGTCATTGGGGGGGGGACGCGGGGGGACGCCATCCCCCCGGGTGACGTGCAGGAGGGCGGGGCCTGGAGCTCCCTGCTGGTGCCCGCTGGAGGTCGCCGCCGGCTGTGGGGAGGACACACTTCCGGTGATGTCAGGGTGTGTGGCATATGCTAATGAGTTATGCTAATGAGTCCCCCTAGCTCTTTTTCTACGAAATGACCCCTGCGTCTAACCCACTACACAACTGTGTGTATGTTTGTGTGTGTGTGTGTGTGAGAGAGAGAGATTTAATGAATGCTTTGGAACTATAGATCTTCTTCTTTACATATTTTAATTTTCAAAAGGAACTTTAAGGATTAGAACTTGAGTTACCAGTGTGAATGTTTCTTAATAAACGTGCCTGTTGTGAAGATTAATATCAATGCAACATCTCTGTAGGCTGCTTTGCTGTATGGAGAAAAACATACTTGGGTGTTCCGTTGTCAAAATTTCCAGAAAGTGGTTATTCTGCTGCCATTGAACTCAAGGAGGTTTTATCTTGAAGTAGACCAAAAAAAGGAAGGATAAAAAAGGAAGAACGATGTTGAGTAATCTTTGTTTACTGAAAATAACACAAAGCACTTCTTTAGAATAAGAAGCTCTGGTTTTCAACAACTTTTAAATGACAACGGGGTCATTTAATGCAGAGGGGTTTGTTGTGGTGGCTCAGTGGTGGAGCCTCTGATTGGCAGGCAGAAGGTCCCCGGTTCAATCCCCGACATCTCCAGTTAAAAGGATCGGGTAGGCGGTGACGGGAAAGACCTCAGCCTGAGACCCTGGAGAGCTGCTGCCAGTCTGAGTAGACAAGACTGACTTCGATGGAACAAGAGTCTGATTCAGGATAAGACAGCTTTGTGCGTGTGACAACTTTCATCAGCAACGGGCATGTGAAAGCTCCAAATTTTGACCCGTGCAGTATGTGTGTGTGTGTGTGTATACACGTGTGCCCTCTTTCCTGCAGACTGTTAGCCTGCTCAGAACTGTTCTCTTTCCAGTCATTCCCCCTGCCAAGGAAATATTACGTGGACCTAATACCTTTCCTTCACAGGGGGGAAAGCCACTGGGGGAGAGTTGCCAGCCTCCAGGTGAGGCCTGGGGATCTCCCGCTTTTACAACTGATCTCCAGCTGACAGGGATCAGCTCCCCTGGAGAAAATGGCTGCTTTGAAGGGTGGACTCTATGGCACTGGACGCTGCTGAGGCCCCTCCCCTCCCCAAACTCCGCCCTCTCCTGGATCCACCCCCGAAGTCTCCAGGTATTTTCCAAACCGGACCTGGCAACCCTAGGGAGGGGGGTGAGTGGTGAAGCATCCCCCCCCCACTTAAGTACAACAAACAAACACAAACACAAACCCTTTATTGGCATGAAAGCACAAAGTAAGTAAAATCAGTATTTGTTTTCCTTGTAGGCAGAGGTCATTTCGGGGGGGATCGTGGGGGAACACAGTTCCCCCGGGTGAGGTACAGGGGGGGCGGGGCACATGACGAAGCCCCGCCCCTGCTTCCGGCCGCCCCGCTTCCGGCCCTCAATCAGCCAGGTGGAGGCAGGAGAAGAGGGAGGGTAAGTTGCTTCCTCCCTGCCTCTCCCCACCCCTGCCTGCCTGGAGCCAGGGAGGGCCTTTGCGGGGCTTCCTTACACTCCCGCCAGCCTT